GAAAGGACTACAGGGATATTGAGATCATATCTTTTTTAGAGTTTTCCCGTATCTTTAGTTTAGCTGTAATCAGGAAGCTTATGAATATCGGCTCATCAGAAATTCAGTATTGGTTATTATTTAATGGGAGCGTTGTGAATGATTTATTACAGTGGGAAAGAATTTGAGATAAATTGTATCAATTTGTGTGCGTGGTTTTCAATGCACTATTTGCTGTTGTAAGCTTACATGTACATGGATATTTATGAGCTTCAATGAAAATCCAAAGAATTGGATTTTAAAATTCTAAACATGTTACATGTATATTACTGTGTCAGTATTCATACACCTTATACCAAAATGGCCGCCATTTTAGTATTCTTTTGTTTACTTGAAAATGAGCCCTTGTTGCCTCGTTTAAGAGAAACTATTCTTTTGAATTTCAAGTTTAAGAACAAGGTAAAAAGGGCTAATTTGCAAGTAAACAAAAGAATACTTAAATGGTGGTCATTTTGGAATAACATGTATAGGGAAATTTTGAAGGAATGGTGAACCTTGAGTGTTAGCGGTTTCAATATCACATGCGCCATTTATAGACCTGCCATCCCTCCTGGTTGGGTAGGAGTTTCCTCCTTGTTTTTTTCCTCAAAAACATATGGACCGGAAAATATTATAAAAATGTGGCAAAATGTAATTTAGGCTAAATTAAACTCAAAAAAACTGCTGGCCAAGGATCACTCCCTTGATATGGGGTGAGTTTATCAAATGTTATATTGGTGTTGCATAGTGTAGTAAATTCCCTCTTAATATGGAATTTGTTATCCTGTGCTATTCCAAAATGACAATAGTCATCATTGTAGGCACCAGAAGTTGTGTCATAGCTTCATGTTTGGTGCCATGTTTTCACTTAATTAGTTTCCTTTGTTTTGTGGCCTTTTGTACATGTTATGTTCATTTGCATATTCTATATGTTTGGTTCGCATGTAATTTATTTAGTTAGTAGTAGTTTGAGTTTTTGTCTATGCCTTGTTCTGGATTTGCTCCAGTTTTACAGTTCGTCTTTGGTTTTGGGGTTCACCACATTCGTCTTGTAAGTTTCCTCATTTATTTCGCTTTGCCGTTTTTCTGCAGTCTTCATGCTGACGGTCGTTGTTAGTTATTTTATGTCCATTCCCGTGTTTGTAATTTTGTTATTTTCAGTTACTGTGTTCAATCTACATATTTGGTGGAATTTAACTGCTATGGCAAGATTTGGATGAGTATGATAAGCATGTGCAACAATAATCATAATGTAGAAGAATGAAGATTTCTGGGGTGTGAACGTATTGCTTAGTGTATTTAGGGGTTTGCTGGCCAGTGAGTATTGTGTGACACCTGATACAGGTTACAGTGAATGTGTTATGCACAAAACAATTAGATCACACCAAGCTTACAATTAAATAGCTTCATGTCATGTTTTTTTTTCTCTGCTGACTAATCTTGGATAAAAAGATATTTTATAAAATTAATGTCACATTTGTTTCTACTGCCCACAGTATGTTAGAGGCTCGAGATAGGTACTAACATGGAGGAAGAGGATGTTATGAACACCAGACTAGCAATCAAAGAATCACTGAAAAAACTTGATGAGTACACATCTTATCTCAGGTAAACTAATGCTCTTTGCCTTGATTATATCAAGTAATTTTATTTCATCTGTGTGTGATTTTACCATCATCTGTCCGTGATTTTACCATCATTTTACCTGTGTTTTGTATTGTGAAAAGGTTGAGAAAGCTAGATAACAAGGGGATGTAACCTTTAACAGCCCCAGCTAGTTATGCATCTACCTGTATTCCTGGAACTCAACCCCCCTCCCGTCCCCCCTCCAAAAATGCTAGTGCGTCATTGGTGAATGTTCATGATTCCCACAAAAAAATTAATTTGGCCCTTGTCAATTTTAAACCCAAGGCAGCTGTCAAATGGTTTTGATTATAAAAAAAATTTGAGACTATACTTTTCTTCTATGCATGTAGATCAAGGCTAACAGACATCAAGTCCACGCGTGAAGGAGTCAAAAACAGCATCAGCAAAGCACGCACTGAGGTTGAGGAGAGATTTAAGGAAATAAAGCAAGAAATAGCACATGTATTAGAAACTCGCCAAAAAGCAATTCTAAGTACTATTGGTGAGATAGAGAGGAAGGATCTTGATCCCCTGACTAATTTGGAAGACAGAATCAATGGGCAGCTAGATAAAACTGTTCAACTTATTGAAAAAGGTAGGGAGTGATGATCAAGTATTAACTCTACATGTTAGATGCTGCTCAGTATAACTCAACCAAAAATGAATTTAAAGAGAATCTGGAAACTTTACATGCATGCTGTAACTCTATTATTCTTTACTATTTTAGCCCTGGGAGGGGACTCTCATGTGGAAATGTTGGGGATGCTCACCGGAAAAGTTTAATTACACCCCTAAAAGAGACCAATCTGGGTTTGGCTCAAGCTTTATTTGACCTCCAAAAGGTACACTTTAAAATGGACAGTAAAAGTGGGGTTGTCAAAAATCAACATATTAGTGCTAGCTAAGTAAACACCGTACCTGATTACATGTAAAACAAGGCTGGGTTTTTAATAAATGTTCCTACAGTTTAAACCGAAAAAATGCAATATTACCAGTTTTCTTTTATAGGAAATTCCTCCCTTGATGAAGATGATGCTACACTCCTAAGTGAAGGAAGGAACTTGCAAAATGAGCTGCAATTTTCATCTATAAGGTTAATAAGTTTAATTTTCCTTGTAGGTCATGATTATTGATTTGGGTAGGAGTAACTAAAACTACAAACCAACTGGAATACCTTTAAATCAATTGGAGTAGGCCAGTGGGAAAAAAATTGAAATGACATTTGAGTGGCCAGTGGGTGCAAGAGAAGTGACAGTGGATCCTGTTTGAAATTGTGAGAAAGTGATGTTTTGTTCTGTGTGCACGTGGCAGTGAAGCAGTAGTACTAAGAAAGTAAACATCTCTTGAAGCAAGGTGGAAATAATTATTACCTTTGTTACCTTTTGGCTGAAGAGTGGTCGAGACATGACAGTATGGTGATGTGCTCACCAGTTTGCTGCAAGGCATGTGTTGGCTGCCTGTTATTTTGCTGCTTACAGTAAATTATTTGTTGCATACTTCATTGACGTCACATGTATTATCCTGACTACTAACAAATCCATCTCTGGCATGTACTACTCACTACTTCTTATCCTGCCTGCTACAACAAAATCTTTTCACAGGGATGGGTGTTAGATGAAAACTTATCAAATCAAGCCTTGAAACCCATAATGATACATGTAACTAAAGATTTTGATGGTTGCCCGCTATGAGCACTGCAAAGCAAAATTAATACTTACTTTATTAGTTATAAAGAGCTCCCTGTGACGAGTACAGTCATTGTGTTGCTGATTACTCTTTATGTGTACTACAACTTCCCAAAGGGTTGTAGCTAACATTTAACAGTGTACCAATACCATACTGGGCCGGATCTGAGAGAAGCATTCCATCCAGGAGGAGAATCAAAACTCCAAGTCACTTGAGTCACGCTACAGAAACTGAATTTTATACTGGCAGCAATAAGAGATCTAGCTGCTCCAATTTTAAGGATTGCTTCCAGGAGAAAAAAAATCATTGTCCCAGATGGGTGTCACCTTGTCTGCATACACAGTTCACCAGAGGCATAGCAAGCAGCAAGGACAGGAGCTCTCAGATTAAAATTTTATGTTGTCCTTGAAAAATTTTAATACTATTGAAAGGTCATCACACATATGCACACATCTTAGGCAGTTGAGAGAATAAAGCCTGAAAAAAATTCAGGCTTGAATGAGATTTGAACCCATAACCTCTGTGATAGCAGAGCAGTGCTCTACCAACTGAGCTATCAAGCCAACTGATCATGGTTCGTATTAATTTTATTTTACCTACAGGTATCCTGATACTCCTTGCATATCACAAACCTTGTCTGTCACTTTCAGCGACAGTCACACCCAGTCAGTTCTTGATGCTGTCAATTCCATAGGAGAAGTCTCCATGACAGGCTCACTTCAAATAGCAGAGCTGGTTGAGCATCCTGGAGCTATCCTGGTTCAGTGGTTTGATGAGGTAATGTTTCTTCACTTTCACTCTTTCCATTGGATCCTGAATCAAATGGTGGAGATTTGATCCCTGGCTAGGTTCATTGTGTTGTGTTCTTGGGTGTTACTTTCATGGTCTTGGTTTAATTCCATCCAAGTGGAGTGCTTGTAGAATACTTTTTAGTACTGCAGTTGTTGCTTCATGCTATGGACCTGGAAATTTAGCATTAGACTCCACCTCTTTAGATTGAAACAAGCTTTGTTTACTTTCAATAGATTGCATCTCTGTAATTTAAACCTCTTTGAATATGGTGAGATCGTTTTTTTTTTTTTTAAATAGCCATGTTATAAATGTTCTGTAAAATATCTTGCGTCATAGGACCACAAAGTGTACAGAGATCTATTACCGCTTCTAGTATTCTTACAGTAATCAAAATCTCATTTCTCTAAGTTAAAATATTAACAATACATTATCAATATAACAAATGACAATAGTACCCTACAAGAAGGTCATTAACTTTTGTCTCTATTTTATGTACTGCGAAATATGCGCCACTGAAATAAATCATTTTAACACTTAGTAAGGAGAATTATGTTGTACTTCAGTCTAGTGACTGAACCAGGTAACTTTTGTATATTTTAGACATATTCAGATAGTGAGTCCATCACAGATTACAGTGGCGTCCAGGAATACATGCTACAGTGTTGTCGTACAGACAACAAAGGCAACAGTGATTCAGTGTTCAGCACAGTGTATTGTGGTGAGGAATCATCTCACTTGGTTTCAGATCTTGAACCTCATGTGTCTTACACTTTTCGTGTCTGTGGAAGGTTTGGAAATGAAGGAAAATGGGGATCTTGGAGTATTCCAAGGAATGGAATAACAACACTTGACCAGCATGGTAAGGATAAGAGAAAATAAAGTTATTACCTTGAGGTTTCATGTTAAGTAGTTCAGAAAATATCCATACCCCTCCCTATGGAAGGTTATTGGAAATTCTGCAAGGGATTGGGATTGAATCAAATGTCTTTTCAAACATCTGAGGGTACGGAATGATATTTCCAGGAACAACACTAATTTTGTAGATTTTCATCCACCATCTGACAAGCTCAACTGCTTACGAAAATGTCACTGTTGAGAGATGCCAGCTGGCCTAATGCCAGATAGCATATCTTAGCTATTGTTTGGGTTTTAAGGAATTACAAAGTGGCAAGTTCAGGATACAAGCCAACCAGTGAAGCAACCAGCCCATAACTTGCACGCTAAAGTGCCTGCGTGCCTTCAAGCTAAAGTATTTGTGGACAGTTCAAGAGTAAATTGTATGACTCAGGGATTTTGATTTCTTTTGAAATCTCTTTTTTACGCAAATGTTTATTGCTTTCAGCTTGAAGTGATTAAGTCTAGAAGCGGCTCTCTAAAGAATTTATCATAATATGATATGAACTTTTTGCTTCTCCTTGAAGTATCACAACACTTTCAATGAGACAGGTGACGAGAATAGAGAAGTTCATCAACTAATCTCTGTGAGAACATAAGCTGATTCTTAAAATTCCTGAGAGGGTAGTAATTAGTGATTGTAGATTCAAAGTAATGTCTTGTTGTTTTCTTTTTATGTTTAGAATGGTCTGTGGAGGACTGTCTCAACCAAAATAAACTAGCTGTGTATCAACTCAGTAACAGGAGGAAAACTGCAACAAAAGTGTTCCCTGACTGCTCCAAAGTTCTGCGATCACAAACAATGAGTTACAGACTTGATACAGCACTGATTCTCAAGATTGACGAGACTGGTGATCCCAGTAATGGTGATGGTATTGGCCTTACAACTGCATCATTTGATTTTAGCAATGCACGACAAGTCCTACAATGCCCTGGTTCAGTTAGCATAAATTCCAAAGGTGTTGTTTACGTTAATGGGACAGCCATGACAACAAGGTTACCACAGTTCAAACGAGGTTCAGTGGTCATGTTTGATGGAAGTCGCGTCTCTAAAGACAAGCTTCGGGTGTCAATCACTGTTGATGACAAGCTAGTGACTTTTGATTGGCAGGTTGACAGTGAGGGTGATGCATTTTATTTTGCCATGGGATTTCAACACTCAGGCTGGCAAGTCTCTGTCTAGAATTAAACCATCATGGAACGTTTTTTAATGTTAAGACAAAAATACTGTAGGGAGCAGTGCAGAGGACCTGTTTAGATGTTCTTGAACTTCAGTTAAAATGTCGAGATCCGCACAGTTCTCTTTATCAGCCAGTAACTGGAAATAATTTCTGTGAAATGAAGGCAAAAAGGTACAGCTGGAGATTCACAATTAACACAATTTAGCATAAATTTTCCAAAATATAGTTGCAAAAAGAATCGTCTGTCTTTTAGCCAGGTTTTATTTCTGGATAAACTGATAAAAAAAAAAAACAAGGGTGTAGCACAAATTCAAGTTAGGTGTATTAGGGCCTGTAGTAAAGTAATATAACATACGCCTGTGCCTTTTGAAAATCCGGTTACAGAATATCCCTGTGCTCTATACCTTACACTACAACAAAATATTCTGATTAAGAAATAACAAAGCTTTACCTCGAAATGTGATATTATAAAATGATTCTTATTAAAATTTTGCCAAATTATTTTACATTATATGATGATGATTCACACTTCTTTAACAGTGTTTCACTCTGTATTGATTTATATTTTATAAGCAACACCAAAAGTTATTTAAAATATTTCAAGGTAAAATAATTTGCTTGAGATTTCAAAATTATAGGTGTCAATTTTTATTGATTCAATACAAACTAAGGCCATATTAAGGCAGTGCAAATGTTTGAAACATTTATAGGAATTTTATGGCAAAAGTTGCTGGAGGTCACATGACCCTGACTGCAAAATGCACCCAATAAAAGAATAACAAAAATGCAGGAGTATAAATTTTACAAAATCATGTACAGTAGATACCACAGATAATTTTAAAGGATAAGGAAAATTAAGAGAAAGTGCTCTGTTGGTATATGACCTTCTTAACTGTTCTAATTTTAAGCACCTCCACCCACTCGATAAATTCTCACCATAGAATTTATAGAAATGTGACCTTGAGATAAAATTTTGCTAAACTGGAACTGTACTGATTGTGGTCTGATATTGTAATAGAATTCAGCCTTTGTTCACTGCATTCCGGTGGTAGTGTTTTTGTGTCAGTGTTTATTACTGGGATGCACTTCTGTCAGTGAAATGTCAGTGTGTGTTGTCGGGGAAAGATTGACTGACTGACTGACTGGCTAATCGACCGACCGACCGACCGAGCGACTGACTGACCGACTGGCTCAGTGACCGACCAACCGAGCCACCGATCCGGCCGCCGTTCCACCACACCTCCCCATGTACCCTGTGCGTTCCCCCGTGCGTTTTCCCCATTCGTTCCCTGTGCATTTCCTTGCGTTGCTACATGTGCTAATCCCTTTGTTCTCTGTGCGTTCTCTTGTTTATTTACCTGGTCCTTTCGTTCATTTTTTCCCCGCAATATCTGTGTGTTTCCTATTCCAACTGTACAGTTTCCTCGAGCGTTTGTTGGCTTCACCTTTTCCGGTTAAATCTGTCCTATCACTAAAGCTGTGTAACTTGAAATGTTTCGAAAACTAGAAGAGCTGATGTTACCATACCCGCGAAAGAGATATCATTATAAAGGCACCACTGCCAAATTTAAGGGGGTCTTATACTCTCAGATATGAATTTTTCTCCAAAAAACCATTTTTTTGGAACATGAAGATTCAACATCCC